TTTAAAAATCAATATTTAATGAAGCAAAATTTTGAATTATAACTTGCTATAAAAAAAAATACACATGTTCTCAGCACTTACCCAACAAAATAAATAAAGAAATAAATAAAATAATTCCCTATAGATACTAAAAGTAAACCTTGAAAATTCTTTAAAATAGTAGACTGTTACGTTCAAATATTGAAATCAATGGACTGAGAAAAGAAAGAACTCGCTCTCTTGCATACCAATTTGTAAAAAAGTAGTCACAATTAATCATACACCTAAAGAAAATAATGAAATTTATTCGGTTTTTTTTTTAATTTTTTATTTTTAATGCTCAATGATCCCAATTTTAGATATTGGTCATCAAAAGGTTGTAATAATTAGTAAAACGCATGATGGACTAGTTGATTAATTTTTTTTTTTCTATTGTTTTCGTTCTCTTTCAGTTGTTATCAAAAGATTCAAAACCATGATTCTTTTATAGGTGCTTATTTAAGCAAGAGTTTCATCATCGCTGATTTATGGAAGTGTTTCTTGATTTTGTTTGATTTTCTTGTATACCGTGTGAAACAAATGTAATTTGTATTGTACACATTTTGTGGGTGTTTTTTTATTAATTTTTTTTTTTTAGATTGTTATGCAACTTAAGCCACCTCATCTCATTTATATGTTCTATAACTTAAATTTTTTATTTTTTATTTTTAATAAAAAAATTAATAATAAATTACTTATTAGGGTACGTTATGCATTAAGAAAGTAATTTTACAGTGTAGTTTACACTAACTTATGAAATAATGATCATTTGTAAAAGGAGAATCACCTCAAATTCATAAAATCCATCCCTCATAAATAGTAATAAAATGTGCTATCTACTCTAGCTACAAACTGCAAATAATTAACTTTTCTATTATATATTTCACATTTAAAAAATAATAATAATAAAGGTTGGACCACACTGATGGCTTATTTGATATACCAATTAAAATCCAACGAATAACAAATAACGGATAGTGGTAACGGATAGCGGATGGTAGTTAATGAATAGTGAATGACAGATAGTGGAAAGTAGGTAACGAATATTAGATAATAGATAGTAAATAGCGAATTTGATAAATATAACTGTTTGATTATATAATAGTTAGTTGTTGTTGTTTAATATTAAATGACTAATAAAGATATATTTAAAAACAATTAAGAGTTTTTTCTAAATATTTTTTATTTTTTATTATTTATTAAAATTATT